AGAATTCGAAAATCGTTCGTTTAATAAGCAATACTATGTTTAAATCATTTCATACTTACATTTACTTAACATGTCAACGACTCATGGGATTTCATTGAAATAAAATCTTTAATTAAACGTATTCCAGGTAATTAAACTCTCTCTCATGATAATATCTCATGACCAAACATCATACCATTTAACCATATAATTATCGTTGAAAATAATACAAATTATGAAATTGAAAATTGAAAAGTTTCAAGCTCTCTTGATAAAATCTGTTCCCTGAAGATCCATTCTAATATACGTTCACGTACAATGTTTCGAAAATTTGAGTATTTTCGCGTAATTTTGCATGAAAGTACGGGCGAGAAAACGTGCTGTGTTAGCACCACTAGTTTGGCAGGCAATTGTTCTTAACGCACGGGTAGATTAATATTGCTTCTCACAGGGTGTGGATGCACGTTCCACTTGGCCTCGCCCGGTTTTGGGCAGCGGAGCAGGAAGCGCAATGCAAGGGCCACTCTCTGCCCGGCGCCCGCGCTCCCTTCGCGTCTCAACACTCTGCTCCCATCTCCGACTCCACTAACCCTGCAACGGAACCTGTTTATCCGAAGTGGGCCTCACCGAATACTACAAGCGCTAAATCATCCCTTCGCGTTAAGCAAACTAGATGTTAATGAAATGTCTGACTACCACGTTAAGCAAAATGTTCAAACTAGTTTGCAGGTCAAACCAAGCTGATGAAAACTGAATCATCTAAATAAGCAAATGAAAATTTAAATGTTGTTTCTCTTAATATAATTATATCGATTGATGACTTGATATACATGTGACATTTTCATTATTCCGGACTTAATGAGTACGAGGTGTAAATTAGATTTTAACTAAGTAATTCTCAAGGTAAAATGTTTTTTGCCCTGTTTTCAAATTATGTTAAACCTTTTAAAGTATTACCTGAAGGAAAACAGAGTCAAGAGAAAAGAAAAATTAATTAATTAAGACCGTTATTCTGTCTAAGCGTATATATCTCAGAATGCATTTTCTTAAATATTCAAAAATTATTTCGATCATCAATCACGCGTCTCCGAATCATAAATTTTACCTTTTCGGCATAATGTAACGAAAACTACGAAAGTATCTACACCATGAAACAATGCGTAAATTATACATAGGTAGGTATTGGAAAACAAAATTGAAGTTCGAAAATAAACATATTCAGTATAATGAGCTGTTCGAGAAATAACGACCTAATTCTCTTGGAAGTCCAGATTTCTCAATTAAGCAAAAATATATATATCTACGGAAAAGGCCAAAGCGTCATTATGCGAATAAGTTTAATTAGAACAACGTAGCACCAAGTTTGTTGGAAGATTAGCTTTAGCAAGATTAAAGAAAATCTTCCTCCCTTTTTCGCAAAAGCCAACTAGGGCTGCCGTGCGCGCAGATTTGCACTGCCCCTAAAATGAACTATTTACCGTCTAGTCAGGGATGCTGGTGAGGCAGAATCGATTAATGGTAAATAATATTTCAATTGAATATTGGGTAATATTGAATATTATGAGTCAAATTTGTCTAAGCAATACATCAATATTCAAATAAATGATTCAAGAAACCTTCCTCTCGCAGTTTCTATCGCTCCGTCTTGGGCGCGGGGGCGGCTAGTCAGCGCCGAAAGCGGAAGAGGCGGCGAGGGGGCGGCGTCAGCACGGGCGCCGGACGGAGCGCGGCGCGCGGGGCGTTGCGTCCACTAAGGGAAACAAAACGCCCGCCGTAAGCGCCCCCGCCGCCGCCGCCGCCGCCCGTAGCGCGTGCCGCCCGCCGCGGGCGAAGTTCAGCGCCCCGCCCGCGCCCCCTCCGCCCCCGCGCGACGGTGGGCGCCCGATCCGGCGGGCGCGGAACCCTCACGCGCGGCTTCTCCACTCGCGGAAGGACGGCTGGGGCTTTTGGTGATCGGTGCCGGATTCGGAGGGAGAGGGGGGGGTGACGCTCCTCTCCCAGGTGGATGGTCACAGGCCGACCACTCCCACTGCGTGGATGATGCTAAAGTCATCTCGAGGGAACAATAATGATGACGTGTAAGAGACGAGTGATTACGGGCGGGATGATGTCCAGATGGGATGAGTATAAGGTAAACTACCGCCTAAGAAACTTATCGTACATTTCCGTCTCATACGGAATTGGAAGAAGCAGTTTTCGGCTGCGCGTATTTGCTCGTTGCTTAAAGTCCCTGAGTTATCGGGTCAGGCAGAATCATTTGATACACCAATGTGAATAATAATGAAAGTATATAGAAAAGATATAAAATGCGAAAAAAATTAAGTTCAGCCCGTAGACGTGCGCAGCCTAACACAGGAGAGGGTAACTACATTTCTGGGCTCCTCTGGGCCATCTTTTTCATTTTCTATACATACAATGTTTTACAAGTAAATCAATAAAATGCAAATAATCGCAATTGACGCCATTTTGGAGAAATGATTATATAATGCTTGAGAGGGAATAAATACATATTTTTTGTATAAAATTCTTCCAAACACTAACCTTTTTGATCAAGATTGCAATGCATTACTGTTACACTTAATGATTAACGAAATAAAGAAGGCAAATAACTTAATAATCCCTAACAATGCACCTCAAATCATACAAAATCGAATTACAGTCAAGTAACTCTGCCGCGCGTACGTTTCGCAAACCCATTCAGTTCGCCACCCAATATTTTTCGCCCGAATGAATGCTTTTAGACAGACAAAAATCGACTACGCGCTGTTTCGACGAGAAGCGCGGTTTGGGACCACATCTCCGTCGGCCCGGATCGGTGCGGCGGAGGCAGAGGCGGCCGAGGGGCGCGGGCGTGGGCGTGGGCGTAGGCGCGGGCGCTCCGTGCAGCTCCTTCGCGGAAACGTCGATCGCCCACCGCGGAAGTGAGTCCGCCCGCCCGCGCACGCGCGTGAACGTTCGCGCGCGGCGTTCTATCTCACCCCAGAGACGCTGATTTTAAAACAAGGACCGTCCGAAAGATTCTGGATAGATAGAGTGATACAGGAAGCAATATACTATTTATAACAACACGATTTATCCACTATTGTGTTATCAGGTCCCGGCAATAGGAGATTTTCTGATGAAAATTCGTCGTTTTTTCCTCGCAGGATTACAATAGTTTCTTTATTCTGTGTAAGCAATAGGCGAGAATGTAAAAATTGAATCAATAAAATAGAGAATAAAATAGGTTTTAAAATATTGACATGCCAGAAGTAAGTATTAAAATTCTTTATTATGTCTCATTGAAATAAATGTATTTAAATGGTTGTATTTAAAAAGGTAGAATTTATAGGGAAAGATGACACATTACAAATATCAGAACTTAATTCGAACAATATTACGATTACTACGAAAGATACTAAAATAGAAACTGGTGGAGAAATTCTATGCACATCATCCTTCAAAAGACCACAACGTATTGTTTAAAAAAATGAAGTAAAATGCCCCAAAACATTAACATGAAAGACAACATAAAAGAAAATTGTAAATGGAAATGATCCGCCAGAATCGTATTGATAAGAGATATTGATATTACAGGCATTGGATTTGAAAAGCACAAAGTGTTTCGCCAGAAGTATCGACGCTTTCGTCAAAAGACAGTGCTGTAGTTTTTCCTGCTGCGGGAATCGAGGGGCAACGTTCCTTGGAATTCGACGAGATACAGAAACCCTCACGGAGCACTCGGAAATCACGAAACCGGTGACGAAGCGAAGTATCGTTTCCGAGCGAAGCAAGAGCAGACGGCCAGACGAGCCTCGTTTAATATGGCTTTCAGAGCACTAATGGTCCAGTCCATTAAATAAATATTAATGTTTGACACGGAGGACGCAGAAGGAAGCATTATCGCTAACCTCAGGAGACCTCCGAGGAGCGCCTGCACCGGGCCGCGCGTGGGCTTCGGAGCGAGTTTCAAAGGAGGGCAGTCTACACCACAGCGCTGGGGCGGCCAGCAAATCTATCGCCACCGCCAGACACTCAGCACCAGCCTCAACGCTGATCTACGGAACGCCCAACGATTATGGCTCACGTGAAATGTCTACAGAGGAAACACGCAGCGGGCAACGACGAGGACAGCCGCCCGGCGCTCCGTGCCGCATCTCGTTCACAAAATAAACAAACGAATTTATGGGGGAAGGTTCCGGAGAAGATGACTACTATAAGAATATTTTTTTCGACGATAGGCTTACACAAACACGCACGAGAATTGGGCATCGACGTTTTTCCACGGTGCCTTAGCTGGACCATTTCAATGCCCCATACGTGGCTCGGATAAAATTACGAAAGCAAACTATCGTCCCAACAATTCCATCAACCCGATACTTAATTGTTACGCATTTAATTTAATGTGTTAAAATGCGTTTTGAAGAAATCTGAAAACAGGAACGTGTAGTATGTAGTAAAAACGAGTTCATATCAAACTCAAATTTCCACCAGTTGACAATGTGCGTTTTGATTAGTTGCTCTTTAATTACACACGAGACTACGAGTAAAAATATATTAAAAACGACAGAATGGACGGCGCGGCTACATTTCCCGACCCACGAGGGCGTGGCAAATTCGACAGCCCCTCAGGAGACTGACGCGTCTAGCTGCATGCAGGACGGCGCTCTCTTGTGCACATCCACGGAAAAGCCACACGGGTGATAAAGTCGTCGCCACAGGCGCCGGTTCACACGCGGAGCACGCCCGTGTGCCCGCCACGCGCCCATTTCACGCACCCGCGACGCACTTCCTCAACGCCGAAGCGGCCTATCGTCGCCAGCGCAAGCACCCGCCGCCGCAGAAGGCTACCGCAGAACACAGCCCAAGTACAGGGGGAAATTCGCTGTCACTTGGGGAGAAGACGCAAAAAGGCAATTGGATACGAACTGTCAAAAATATTGGACGCGAGAACAAACAACACGCTGCAAGAAAATTGGAGAACAAACACTTCACAGTCGAACAGCGACATAGTACGGCTTCGCACAACAAAAAATTCCTACCTGAAGTCTCGCGCTGATCTCATGGCCCAGCCGCAGGTCGCGGATCAATGATGAACTCGCAGAGGACACCACACACCCACGATCATAACAAGTCTTGTGTTCACACACACACAACACACCGTCTCTGACAAAAAGCGTCCGAGTCTTTCACGTAATCCAGCACAGGGCAGCGACGGTGAGCGGCGCGGGAGCAGATGAAGAAGGCGGGCGCGAAGATGTAGTCGGCCGTCGCACAGCACGTGCACTCGCAGAGCCCGCTGCCGGACCGCTCCTGTCACAGACGCGGCTGGATGTGTGAGTGATCGGCCGGCCGAGAGCTCTCCCCGCTGCTGGCGGCGGCGGCGGCGGCGGCGGCGGCGGCAGGGGCCGGCTCGGAGCGAAGCTGCGCGAGCCTTCGGGTGCGCTCGGCCGACGGAGACTGCCCGTTCGGCTACAGTCGGATGCCCGAGGAATCATGCGATACGCGCGGACCGCTGCAGCACCGTTGACAGGTAGAGGTGCGAGAGGTGCCAACCTCTGCGCGGCGCAACACCCTAGGCGCGACGGCCGACGCGGGCCGCGCGGCGCGCCGGACGGGAGAGGGGCAAAAAATTGCGGACCCTTCGCGCAGACAGATGAGTGGCTCAAGAGAATAATTTCCTACCCCATTAAACCATTCCAGCCCAACCCCTAAATTATAAATTCAATACATTTAATTGTTTTTCAACATTATTACATTGCTACACTGAACTGCTACCGTGAACTCTTATCAATGCGCGACGTCGGAATGCAAGTCAATGAGGCGGAGTCAAAAGAATATTTAATTCCACTTTCTACTATTTTTCGTAGTAATTTAAATTCATATTAATATCGACGAATATTTTGAAAGACTAAGAAAACTTCATTATTCACAATGTGAGCAATTATTTTACGTCAGTTACTATTTGTAGCGTGGACTTAATAACTTATCTCAGATCAAATAATCGGTCGGGAAATTTTCAACGGAAGAAGCGATTCATGAGAAAATATAGAGAGAAAAAACTTCCGCATAGTCTTGAGGATGTGGTGAAACTCAACATACTAAGATCAGGGATAACCACCCTGCTTCCAGAAATTTCATAATTCAAGCATAAATATCGGAAACAGTAGCAAACCAGAGAGGAAAACAGTGGAATGCTCCAGTACTTCCTTTGGCTTGTCGGACGCACAGAAGGTTTTGCAGATGCAAATAATGCAAGACTATTTGAAATGAAAACACAAAAAGGTTGAGGATTACACATAAGATGGTTGAAATACGTCTTTATAGCATTATTTTCTCGCTGTGGCTTAGCTATCGGAAAATGCGGCTGTATAATTATGAATAATCGGTAACCTGGTAGTAATGGTAGATAATAGAACAATAATAATAATAATAATAATAATAATAATAATAATAATAATAATAATAATAATAATAATAATTTTAAAAAATTAAATAACCTTGTTCTTCGGTAGACTTAGGGCTTTCCTTTCGAAGCCCGAATGTTGCAGTTCAGAAACCGCATGTGTTTTGCCGTCACACCTCGCCTCCGCCGCTCGTGGTGGGCGACTGGAGGGGTTGGCGCCCCTGCGGGATGCATGAATCAGTCGTAGCGCGGCAGAGCCACCTGCGCTCCGCTGCCGCAGCCGGGGTCCACGCGGCGGTGGTGGGGGCAGAGGGCGCAGGGTGGGGGGAGCGCCGCGGTGGAGGGGGCGGCGGGGATGGCGTCTGGATGCGAACCGCCCGGCCAGGCCGCGATCGAAGGCGCCAGCGGCGGCTAGCGCTTCGCGCGCCCGCGCCGCCGGTCGCCGGCGCAATCTGCGGAAACCATAGAATGAAACACGTATGAATGATGTGTTAATATAGTGAGAGAGTAAAAAATCTCACATATGTATAATGATAATTTTTTTATTAATTAATAAAAAACCATCATAGTGTAAGTTAGGCATGCCAAAGCGCAAATAATTTGACTTTAGGACTAGAATATAAAATTAGCTGTAAGACAAAGCCCCACCTCTATCTGCTTAAGCAGCAAGGCAGCAGCTTAATGTACAAATTAAAAGATAATTAATTATCTATTCCATAGGGTTACTGTGAAGGGGACAAAAGAAAAGAAAGAAAGAAAAGGGCGGTAACGAGCGCTTCTGGTGCGCAAAACGGCTGTAGCTTCAAGCGGCGAGAAACCCTTATTGCCTTGAATACCATTGCTAAAAGTTTACTGATATCTCGATTCGTTTCAACACTTCATTCAACAATGTTAATTATGATAAATATGCGCATCCCAAGACAAGAAGCAATGTTTTAGAGACAAAATAATATTCAACAAACTGAAAATTACAATTTTCGAGCTCTGTGTTACGTTTTTACGGAACGATCAAGGATTTTTAATAGAAAAATATATGATTGCGTAGGTTTCCGTGGCCGGAGTTCGTATGATCGCTGCCCCGTGGCGAGGCGCGTCTGTCGTGGCGGCTGACGTTACGGCCAACATTTCCGGCCTTCGTCAGAGCTAGAAAAATAAGATGTTGAAACATTTCACCTAATATTTTGTTTCATGATGTAAATGTCCATGTAATTGGAATATCAATATAAAGTGACAGACAACGAACTTTTATGCTTGGAAAATTGAATTTTAATTTTAAGAACAGATTCCCACTGTTATCTCAAAACTGGAAACGTTGTCAGACTCAAAGCACAGATGTTTCTCTACGTATGTCGTCGCGCTGAATTCGAATTCTAATTTAAATTAGCGAAAAAGAATTGTGAAATTTACAATTTACGATTTAGCGGTGTGTTTTGGGGTTAAAATAAACTAGAGGGTGATGGAGCAATTCTGGCTTCACATTAAGATTCAGCTTAATTAGGCTAATTACGTTGTTATTGATACTACATATACTGTAAGTTAAAAAATTATATTGGACGAAATAATCTTGTTAAAGCAGAATGGTGTACAAACTTTCACTTCTGAACTTCCTAAAACTGCTCGAACATCAAAGATTGCCTTCTGTGAAGTGATGTACGAAGAGAAAAATACGTACTATACCACGACTTCGGATTTTGGAGACATGAGTTCTACGAACAATGCTAATTATTTATGAAGTGAAGAATATGATAGAACTGATATCATGATAAATCCGCCCCGCTCCGCCCCGCTCCGCCCCGCTCCGCCCCGCTCCGCCCCGCTCCGCCCCGCTCCGCCCCGGAAGTTAAATTGAAACAGAATATTTCGATTGTCTGACAAATTCTGCAGAATTTGAGATGTCTCATAAAATACAAGTCTGTTGGAATTAAATAATTTTGTAGCTTTTTTTAAATTTAGGGACCTAAAATCAAAATGTTATCTATTATTATTTAAGACATACAATTGATTTTATGTCGTATTCATATATGGAAAGCAGTGGCTGGTATTTCCCATATTCTATTTTCTCTTCTCCGTTTAAAACATGCCCGCAAAAAATACCACTGTTGTGCAAACACCAAGACAATCCTTTTTGCCTCGTCCGTAACTATTCACTGTACTTTCAGTTGTTTCGCAATATACACGCAAAATCCAACGCAATTAATATATCAGAGTATAATTATTGGTATCGAAACGGGAATCAAAGAAGGCCTATACGAGCATCACTACCTGTCTATGTACAGACGTCGTGGCGTGATTAAATGATGGTTTAATGTTATTCATTCTTGACGGTGCAATATTACCATTTACGTAAATACCACATTACCACACAATCACATTACATCATCCCTAACGACGCTATTGGCACTATGTTTTTTTGTGAATCAAAACGTCATTCCAGAACGGATCATTTATCTGTTGCTGGACTATTTCATTAAGAAAGAAATGTTAAATTACATTAAATTTCAAAAAAATATCATTCACAAGCCATAAAATAATAAAAATATTTCATATCTTGGCAAATACAATTATTTTATTTCAGAGTATCTTAAGTGTCATTCTTAATGGTAGTTCTGCAGTAATGGCCAATTTCTAAGAAAATGGAAAGTTAAAAATAGTATGCATTTTACGATTAGAAAGCGGAAAATAATACTTTTCTCCCTCTTTGTTCATCGTTTCTTGAACCAATAATTAATAATTTATAAAGAGTACTTCTTTATAATACGAGCGTACATTTATTGTTCCACTAACTCGACTTTCACACGAACGATTTTTCCATAATACATCGCAATGTTTGGAAATGAAGCGAATCCTCCGTTTAATCAGGCTTTCGTTTACGACCATTGCTTTCCCCAGGAGCAACGAACGCATAAAAGCAACTCCGAGACAGGCGGATAGGTTCCGAGAAACGCGTGATCTCCGCCCAACACCCGCTCTGTTCTTCGAACTGCTCGGTGCTGCCGGCCCATGCAGTGTTACCAGCTAGATTTAAGATGCTCGATACTGTCGAGATTTAAACTTATATTCCTTTCGCTGACGTTATAGAATAATTCTCGCCCAGATGATCCGGCGATTACGAGAAGCAAACCAAAGCACGTGTTGATAGAATTCAAGATAGTGCAAGATATCCATTCGATTATCTCGTAGGGAGGCTGTGCTATTCACATGTTCGCCTTATTTAGCTTTCGCGAAAGCTGTGTAGAGTGACTAAGACGTTTCGATTGACAGGAAGTCGTCAATCCCAACCGTCTTCATTTGTAAATAAACATTCATGTTGAAGTGCGTATAAGCGCAAAGTTTATCTTCTATCGGATCATGTCATTATCTCACATTTACCTACAATTACTTTATACCTATTCAGAGGAATTTGTTGTACAGGAGCCAACTTTGAGATGCTGGTAAGTTAAGAAATTTAACCCACCACAAATAAATAATAAAATAAAAATAACCACCACACACTAGGAATATTTACAGACATCACCCAAGCATTTGCCCGGACATGACACCAAGCCCTCATGCCTCGTAAGTTAAAAAATTGACATCACACTAATTCATCAAATCAATCATTCGTACTGTTTTAACAATATAATTTTTTCTGTAAACGGAAATAATCACCTCTGGAATCCTCTGGAATAATAAAAAACAGAACTCCCTCAAGGCTCTCCTCTTTCATCCACACTATTTAACTTATACGTGGCAGCTCTCAATGAACTGACATGTAAATAGCCCAATTTGCAGAAGATTTTTTCTCCTCTAGCAAGTCTCTAATTGATATCACAAACAAAACTCAACTATACCTCAACTTACTTGATAGTTAGATCCAAATTACAAAATTCAATGAACTCGAAATTAAAGTGCGGCAAAAATATTTATGATCTGATTATATGCCCTTCCACTCAA